ACTGATCTATCTACTTTGAGTGGTATACGTACTTCAAAACGACCCGTTGAATCTCGAGTGGTCGTTTCGTCAAAATAATCTTCGCATTTTTTCTCTAAGATTGACAAAGATTCCTGTTTTGAGAAGTTACAGTCTTCGAGTTCCCAAAATTTTTGTAATTCGTCGTTAAATTGATTTTTATTTTCGAAAGGAGTAAATAATACGTTTGTTTGGAGATGACACGCTGCAGAGAGGATTGAATTGCTTCTTTGAATTGCACCCGAGACAATCCAACCTAAACAAGTATTGTGAAGAACTGGCAAATCTTCGCCCAACTTTAGTTTTCCTGTATTAAATAAATCTAGAAAATATTCCGCGCTAATAATCATATCAATCTGACTTCTTTTATTAAAATGATTGTCTGCTAATTTAATCGTCTCTGGAATGTGCCAATCAGAAATATCAATTTGAATGGAAGGTAAATCATTTGTTACTTTCGGAATCGCTAAACAATAAACGTTTGTTTTGAAATTTGAGTGTTGTGACGCTATAACAATATTACAAGCTTGATTTACATGACTCGATGAATTATTTATGCCAGAAATTGGATTGTCGACAATATCTCTTTTTACAATACCTAATTTGTTACACGCTGTATAAGATACAAAATTTGCTTCGCTAGCAGAATCCAATAAAACTCGAATTGGATGATAAGAACCGTTAACATGTTTTGCATAAACAACCGCTGTTGCCATTAAATTATATTTTGATTTTTTCGCTTCGCTTTGTGAATGACAAATTGTCATATTCGAACTAGTTGCTTCTTGTGAAAATTGTACAGGTAGATTTTTACTTTGTGATTCGTTAGATTCTTGTGTAATTGAACTTTCGTGACTTTTCGACGGTAAACATAACAAAGTATTGTGCCTTTTGTTGCACTGGCGACATGAACTATTTTTACAATCTTTTACAAAATGACTATCTCTAAAACAATTGATACAAATTCGTAGTCGTTTTATTTCTGTTATTCTATCTTTAACTGACAAAGACAAAAACTTCTCGCAATTGTACAAATAATGATCTCCTTAACATAAAAAACATTTTGTTTTTTGAGCTAGGGCGACTGTCGTGCGATTCTCGCCAAATCTACTTGAAGATCTATTTCCTTGAATTTTACCATGATTACTTGAATTATCTGGTTTTGATACGACCTTCTCTTGAACACCTGTGAACAATCTTTTAAGCATTTTACATTTTTTTTCCAAGAAGTCAATGATTCCATCAAAGGTCTGATCTGAGGCATTTTCAGATTCGCAATGTTGTTCCCAGGAACGCCGCGTAATATTATCTAATTTTGATTCAATCATATGAACTAATAAAGCATCCCAAGAGTCAACAGGAAGTCCCATCGACCGTAAAATTCTAGTGTGTTTTTTTGCATAATCAATTAATTCACGTAAAGAATCAGAAGACTCCTTTTGAATTTTGGGAATTTCGAATAAACATTGAATATGTTTCTTTTTAATAGACCTTTGATCGTCATATCGTTCTTGTAATAAGTTCCATGCTATCATGTAATTTTCGTCTGACACTTGAATTGCCTCAATCACTTGTGCCGCACTTCCGCGAATTGAAGTTGACAAATATTGAAATTTTTTAACGTTAGATAATTCTTTATTGTTATGAATGAGAGATTTAAACATATCAGAAAAGTTTTTCCATTGTTCGATTTTACCATCAAATTCCGGTAATTTGATTTGAGGCAATTGAATGTCAGACTCTCGAGTTTGTACCCTGTCAATATTAAAACGCTCAAGCAACGCTGCTTGTTGTTCCAATACACGAGTTAAAATGTCATTATTACCATTATTACTTACATTAACCGTTGGCTCTGGTGTTTTAAACTTACTTGCCATTTGCTTTAATTGAGTTCTTATATAAATATAATTCTCCTCGAATTCTATATCCTCCTGATTATCTGCTGCGAGATCCTCGTTTTCGTCCGCCATTTCGAATATTGCCGTGTTAATGTGCTTGAATTCCTTGAGAACATCTTCTAGTTTTTCCAATCGCAAATCGAGTTCCTCTTTATCTGGTACGATAACATCGCTGTCAAGACTTCTAATGAATGTGTCTAAACGTTTTAATTTCGCCTTCACGTAACCTCTATCTCGTCGTAATTGTTTCAAAGACATGATAAAATTCGATGAAAAAACGTGGTTAACCTCAAAACTAGGCTATTTCAGTTTCGTTGCGAATACTAGTTTATTCGCTGTACTCATAGATCGCTATCCTGATCGAAGGACCAATGTTGGGACTCTAGATAGTCCAAATAAAATTGTCGAGATTTTCGTTTAATTTTCTTTATTATAAACTTTATAAACAAAGATTGCAACTTGAATCATTCTTGACGCAGACTAAAAAAAGAACTACTAACATTCACAAAGAAAATTCAAGCGCGTCTTTACATTTCTGTTGATAAAGTAGAATTTAACCTTTTCAAGATTTCAAATCAAGCGCGCGAAACATTCAAACATTCAACATTCTCCGTGTAGTTAATCGTAAAAAAAGAAGTAAATAGTAGAATTTATTAGATGAGTACGAAGCCTAGAATAGTAAAAAACAGTCTGAAAATGCAAAATAATCGTGTTTACCTTCAGTTTTTTTGTTTTTAATGCAGAAAATGAGAGTACTGCCCTTAGATGTACGCCTTGGATGCAGGTTTTTTATTTTATCCAGGAAACCAAAAGTAAAAAGACTCGGGGTTGCAAAATTTCACAAAGTTGTTGATCGATCAATTCATGGAAACTTTTATCGATTTTCTTCTTCAGCTTTACCAAAAATTTTTAACTGATACTGTCTTTGGTTAATCAGCTTTTAGGATTTTTTTAAATTATGACACGATTAACAAATTTATTAATAAACGTTGAAGCGAACGTCTATTGAACTTCCCAGAGATTTGGCATCAGACAAATATATTGCTTATTGCCAAAATCCAAGGCAACTACTTTTGATTCAACTTGATCGAAAGAAATAATTTTCGTTTTCAGTGGAGATGCTGCAACTTTAAAGATATTTTTCATTTGTACACTCTCGACGAAAAAAGGCTCAACTCGTATTCTATTTACCACAAAGGAACAACTTTCACTCGTTCGAAGAATGTCAACAATTTGTCACAAAAGCAAAAGCAAAAAAAAGCAAAAGCTTTCCAATGTTTTGCTTTCCACGTTGATTTTTTTGATAGTTTGAAAGGAACTCTCCCGAGTGGAAATTTAGAATTGATTTAAGATCTAATAGAGCATAGTAAGTTCTTTACAAGTACGTTTAGATCCTTTAAAGTCTACTAGAGCCTAGTAAACGATATTTAAACACTTTTAAACTCCACTGTGTCCAAGATCATATTTAGAATAAGTTCTCCCTAAAATCTAACAAGTCCTGCAACAACATTTTATATTCTTTTAGATACTTCCAAGGTTTCCGTTTCACATTCTGCATTCGTCAATTGGGACTTGCGTCTGCGCCTTACGTTTAAATTAATACTGAGGAACTATTTGTTGAATGTTAGATTTGAGTTAATTTTACAACTACAAACATATTTTTTATAATAGATAGTTTGAAAATATATAAATACACAAAAAAATAGTTATATTTACTTCTATAATTAAATTTTTAATTAATTTTAACTGGACAAAAGAGATTTATGAATTGAAATGCGATATATGTTAATTAATGTGAAATTTAATATTAACAAATATAAAAATATTTGTCTTAAAATTGATAATTTACATTAAATTAATGAAAAAATTAATTTGTGTAAAAAATTCTTTGTTAATATTATAATAATATTTTGCTATATTTTTAAAGTATAGATTAAAATTAAGATGTTTAGAGTAAATTTAATAAAGATTATATTTTACTGTTTATAATAATATTTAAAATTAATTTAATAATATTAATATTTTATTATGTTTATTATAATATAATATATTAAAATTATAATATAATAAGTATTATATTAATAATATTAAATATTTCTAATATTCCAATTTTTATAAATGTTTAAATTATTAATATATAGTAAAACTATATTCCTAGAAAAATTATTTTGTGTAATTATTAGTTTAGTGTTAATAATTATATATATGTAGGGGAGACTGGGGTAAACCCGCTCACTAGCGATTTGACGCTATAAACTCAACTTAAGATGGAGATATTGGTACTGTGAATAGTACTTACCCAGTGGGCACACTTATTCAAAAGACGTCCTAAGGATGTCTTTTTGCGGACGTCTTTTAGACTTGTACAAAAAGACGTCTTTAAGACGTCCTATTCATGTTCTATGTCTTGGCCATTAGATGTCTTTAAAGTGTCTAAAAGACGTCTGTTTCATTCAACATTTGAAAATAGAAAATATTATTTTCTAAGTTCAACTTGGACTTAGAAATTTATGAATGTGAAATTCATTGGAATTTTTCTAAGTTAAATTCATTTCATTGACAAGTGAGATCGTTAACTTTGTAGAGGTTCATATCTATCTTGAACGGCTGAGGTGCTTAAGGGGATGTCAAAGTCTATTGGATTTTTGCATTGAGCTTCAATGGGAAAATCGCATCGACTTTGACATCCCCTTAAACTTCCTCCTGATCAGTTGTGATAGATTTCTGACGAGATCCATCCAGAATCGTAAGAAAACTGGATTAAAGTGGTCAGGCGGCCTGACCATTTGTCTGACCATTCCTGATTTTATTTTTAGTAGGGTCTCTAACAAATTTTTTTTTCATATGTGTAGAATGTAATTAAACATATTAAATTGTTCTTCTTTCATAGAAAATTATTCATTTGTATGAGCCTATTTTAAATAATATTTGAATGAAGCGTTATAATATGTAAATTGAATTTGTTCATACTTTTAGAAAGCATCTTAAAAAAGATTTTTAACTTTTTGTATTTATATTTCATTTAATATTAAAAACAAAATGTAAATTATTTAAACAGTAACATTTTATTTTAAATTTATTTACCCCGGTGACATCCGATAACTTGATTTCTTCAGAGTGATGATCCTTATCTTTGTCAAGAATTCTTTCATTTAAGAAAACAGATTCAGTTTCTTCATCACTCAAAAAAATCTTTTGACTTTTTAATGGAATATCATTCACAGGATTTTCTTCTATTATTATTGATGTTGATTCCGGCATGTGTACCTCCTTATCAAAATCAGTATCACATTCCATTTTTTCCGTGGTTTTGTTTACATTCTGTAAAAATTGATTATTTTATTTTGTAGAGAATTTATAAATTAACAAAAACTTGGAAATAAATTAAAGTAATTTATTAATGAAAATAGTGTGTCTGTTGCAAACTTTGTTTTATTTTTAAGTGTATGCTTTCTTAGAAAATTAATTATGTGTTGAAAACCGAGTGATAGAATCATTATTATACTCCCAGGCAGAAAAGTTAGAGGTGTGCCAGCACTGACGACCGGCATGGTACCGAACCGGTTGTAAAGTCGGACTTATGCCGGTACCGGCAAAAAGGTACTGGGCCGGATATGAAATAAATACCGGCCCAGTACCGGCCCGGTGGTAAATGTGGATTTCTACCGGTACTGGTAGTGTGTACCGGGCCGGTTGATTAAAAATATCTGGCCCAGCACCGGCCCGGTACTATAATTTACTTCTGTTTATATACCGCCGAAGAAGATTTGCCGGTGATAATATTTTTACCGGCCCACCACCGGTGTAGCACCGGCCCGGTACTGTCATTTCGCTCTGTTTTATACCGCCGAAGGAGACTTGCCGGTGATAATATTTTTACCGGCCCAGCACCGGCGTTGCACCGGCCCGGTACTGTCATTTCGCTCTGTCTTATACCGCCGAAGGAGACTTGCCGGTGATAATATTTTTACCGGCCCAGCACCGGCCCGGTACTGTCATTTCGCTCTGTCTTATACCGCCGAAGGAAATTTGCCGGTAATAATATTTTTACCGGCCCAGCACCGGCGTAGTACTGGCCTGGTACTGCCATTTCGCTCTGTTTTATATTGCCGAAGGAGATTTGCCGGTGACAATATTTGTACCGGCCCAGCACAAAAATTTACTTAGTACTTTCTACTGGCACATAAGTTTTGCCGACAAAAATATTATTACTGGCCCAGTGTCATCCCAGTTGTTTGCTAATGTTAAACTAGCAGAAAAAGAATTAAAGAAGAGAAAAAAATTTGAAAATTAATTTATTAATTTAATTATTAATAATAAATTAATTAGTTAGTTATGCCGGAAATTATATTAATACCGGGTAGGTTGTTTATTGGTGCCTGCCCGGTATTTAGCCGGTGAATAGGGCGGTTATTATTATTTATAATTACTATTTTTATTTATTTATTTTTAATGATTTAAATTGAATTAAAATAAATTAAAAAATACAAATACTGGCCCGGTACCGCACCGGTTGAATATTAGTGCCGGCCCGGTACTGTGTCAGATATTCATTAGTGCCGGCCTGGTACGGTTGCCGGATACCTACCGAAGTTATCATCCGGCAATTTACCGGTACTGCGCCGGTGGAATGAACACACTTATGCCGGTACTGGACCAGTACCTAGCCGGTTGTGCAGCCGGTAATAATCCGGCGGGACGCATGAATATTCCCCACATTGAACTTGCAACAATTTTTGTGGTATCGAAATAAAAAACTTGAAATATCTACTTATTAGAACTGCAATAATTCGAGTTTTTTTTAAAACAAATTTTTATCACAAGAAATTAGTATTTGAAGAAATATTTATTAACTACTTTTTTCATTTGACTGTATTTTAATTTATAAAAATATCCATGTAGGGAAATATTAAAGAATAGAACATTTAGTTGTTTAGATTTTTTTATAGTATGTATTTTAAAAAATAAAAATTTTGCTTAAATGAAATTTTAAGTACATAAAAGTTTATATAAAAGGATTATAACCTAAAAAATTTGTCAATTATCAGAATTTTTATATCGTAGTATATCTATATAATCGAATTTTTATGTAACGTAAAATATATGTAATCGAGTTATAATCTCACAGAATTTATATTTAACATAATTTTGATGTACAACTATTTATATTTAGTTGAAATTATATTTAAAATAATTTTTATTTAATCAAATTTTTATTTAACCATATCTGTAGTTAACCGAATTTTCGTATGAGTGAATTTCCAAAGTACCAAATTTATAAAACATAGAATTTTCAAAACGTCGAATTTCTAAAGCATTAAACTTTTAGAATGTCGAATTTTAATCTGTCCTAACTTTTTGTCACTATAGAGTTTACTATCTATGTTGTTAGTCGGTAAGGTAGATTAAAATTGCGCGCGAAATTTGATTTAACATATGATTTCAAATTTCCCGCACAATTTAAATCAACCATATCAATAAGAATTACAGAGAGGAAACTCTTGTGGCAAAAAAGTTAGGACAAATGAAAATTCGACATTCTAAAAGTTTAATGCTTTAGAAATTCGACGTTTTGAAAATTCTATGTTTTATAAATTTGGTACTTTGGAAATTCACTCATACGAAAATTCGGTTAACTACAGATATGGTTAAATAAAAATTTGATTAAATAAAAATTATTTTAAATATAATTTCAACTAAATATAAATAGTTGTACATCAAAATTATGTTAAATATAAATTCTGTGAGATTATAACTCGATTACATATATTTTACGTTACATAAAAATTCGATTATATAGATATACTACGATATAAAAATTCTGATAATTGACAAATTTTTTAGGTTATAATCCTTTTATATAAACTTTTATGTACTTAAAATTTCATTTAAGCAAAATTTTTATTTTTTAAAATACATACCCCACTTGAAAATAAGTACATACTATAGTATGTCTTAAAGTGTGTCCGTAAGTACGTCCCAAAGTATATACTAAAGTATGTCCGAAAGTATATCCGAATTTGGGATACGAAAGTACATGCTTTAGGACGTCATTTAGGACATACTTTAGTACAGTTTTATATGCGATTTTGCAATTACATAAATTAGTTATTCCACATTAATACTTACATATGAAGTAATTGTTTATGTGATGTTTAATAATTACTTTACATTGTATTTAGTATATATAATTTCTAAATTTACACTATTACCTACCTACCTTCTCTAAATAACCTTTGTGAATGATTATACTTGTTTAAAACCACAATTTAGTATATTAAAAAAGTAGGTTCTTATTTTCATTAATTCAATAAATAGAAAGAAAGTTGAATTTCTTAAGTCATTAATTTTTTAATTTTTACATTTAATTAATTAATTAATTAATTAATTAATTTTTACATTAACTCCATCAAAGTGTGTTACATATAATTTGTATATAAAACGTTATAACACATGAAATAACTTACACGTATTTGTACATACAATATTTACTTAAAATTTCTAATATGTTTTCTTTACATAAAAATGACTGTATAATAATTTTTTTAAATATAAATAACAGGGCTCAGTTCGTTTTTAAGACTCAAAAAAAGTCGCTTTAGTCGCATAAATTCACAACAAAAGTCACGAAAAGTCGCATAAAATTACCGAAAAAGTCGGAAAAAAGTCGCATAAGAGTTTAGAAAAAACGCCATAAAGGAAACACGAAATTGTCAAAATTGTAAAAAAAAATCACATTTCTCGACAAACACATACTTTAATATCCAACAATCCGGAATAATATTTATAAAAATTTAATAAAATTAATAGCAAAATTTTAATAAGGTATTTTTAACATTTTTTTTAAAAATCTGTCCAAAATTTCAATTATTTTTACAAATAATAAAATTCTTCTCCGAAATTCAATTATTTTCAGAAGTAATAAAATTCTTCGCAGAAATTCAATTAATTTCAAAATTTTTTTTAAATTCTCCTCACAATTTCAATTATTTTTATAAATATTAAAATTCTTCTGCAAAATTCAATTACTTTTAAACATTTAAAAGAAATCTGTTCAAAATTTTAATTTTTTTTTATAAATAATAAAATTCTTTTCTGAAATTCAATTATTTGCAAAGAATTTTAATAAAATTCTTGTCAAAATTTCAATTATCTTTATAAATAATAAAATTTATCCTAGAATTTCAATTATTTTCAATTTTTTTTTAAATTTCTCGTCAAAATTTTATACAAATAATAAAATTCATCATGGAAATTTAATTATTTTTAAAAGTTCTGATAAAATTGTTTGCAAAATTTAATTATCTTTAAAAGTAAGAAAATTCTTCGCAGAAATTCAATTATTTTCAAATATTTTTTAAAATTCTTCTCAAAATTTTAAATATTTTTAAAAATATCAAAATTCTTCTTCAAAATTCAATTACTTACTAATGTTTTATAAATTTCTTCTCAATAATTCTATTATTTTCTTTAAAAAAATAAATTCAATTATTTTCATAAACAATAATTAAGAAATTTTTTTATTTGTAAAGTCTTATAATATAAAATAATGATTTTATCACTCGGTCATCTTTAATTATTATGAAACAATTTTTTATAAGTTGTTTAATTTCAAAAAGTTTTGAATTTGAATCTTTTGAAGAATTTTAATTCCTATGGAAAAATAGTAATTAAATATTTATTTAAAAAAGAAGTTATTGATGTTTTCGAAAAATTTGAGAGAAATTTGTAAATAAATGTAACAGAACAATTTTTGACTAAAACTTTTTCCTTTAATTTTCTAAAAAAATTTTAAATTTCAGTCGCATTTTACTAAAAAAAATCTCGAAAAAGTCGAAAAAAGTCACATTTTCTTAGAGAAGTCGAAAAAAGTCGCACAATCCGAACCCTGAAATAACTTAAAGGATACAAACTTGTTCGTGAAGAAGCAAAATCTGCTATAAAATAATAAAAAAATTTTATAAAACTATAAATAATTAAGTAGGTACTGAAATCAACTATCACTCCGAGTCAAGATAATGGAAAAGAGTGATATAATCGTCATTAATAAAACTATAAATAATTTTCAATGAAAATGTAAATTTGGCACAGCACATAAATATTCATTTTCTGATACATTCATATGCACACAAACTTTTTCTATGTCATCTGTTAATACAGCAATTTCTTCTTCTTCAACGTTCGTAATTCTTTGCAGTACTTCATAATTATTATCAAAAATACTATTTGTTGAAATGTTATTGACAATCGAGTATTCTTTTTTTGACTTGGAATCAATTAAAAAATATTTTAATCTTATAAATTTACTGTTATTTAGCTTGGCATGTGAATTATCGAAACGTTGATTAACTTTTAAAAACGACATGTATAAGCAACCATTTTTAACAATCTTTTGGTAGGATAAAGAAAATTCTTTTGACATTTGTAAAAATTCTACCCAAATTTCATTAACTGGTGCTTTCGAACCAAAATATCTGGTTGTCGAAATCTGACATGTACTTTTAACTAAATTTGTCCCCGTAAAAGTACAAAAATTTCTAACAGAAGGTGAACAAGAAGAGTAAACTCTATCTTTTAACATTAGATAGCTGTATTATACACTAATGCGTCTACAGATTTGATGGTGAATACCTTTAGCGGCATGAATTACCTTTAATAATTGTCCATTGCCCGATTCGAAAGCAAATGCACTGTGAGCCCAAAGTGGACCCCAATTGTAAACACTTTCTGCTAAATGTAGTAAAAGATGTACATTAAAAGTCATTGATACTTTTGAATACAATGTTTCTGATTCTGCAACAAATTTGTGAAGTAATTGATCAGCCCAGTCTATTTCCTGAACTCGAATATTTTCTCGGATGCGGTAAGCACGATTTTGTATTGGCGGTAGAATAAATAAGTTTTTTTCATTACTAATTAATAATATATTATTATTTATTTATGATATAAATGTTCTTATATAAAATAATTAAATTTAATACAAAATCTGCTTACCGTATACGAGAAATATCTAATGTCGGTTAGTTAGAGTAACAAGGAATTATCAAATTCTAACCTGTTTTCAGTGTGAATAAATTTTTTGAATAAAATTATCCTTTTTTTTCTTAAAACTTCATTTCCCTTATAAATTTAGCTTTGTTTTACTTTGAAAATTCTTTTCTATTATCTACATTTACTTTAAAATAGTGTTATATTAAGAAAAATGCTTTAAAAGTCACCTCGTATACAAGCATCTATACACTTCTCATTACGGAAAAGGCTCGTATGAGAGTTTTCTCATATTTCTCATACGAGCTACCGAGCTCGTATACGAACTCCGCGGTCCGTGTATCGAATTTTTTTTACTGGGTTGTGACACCAGAAAAATTGGAGTTTTTAAAAGGTGATAGTAAATATTAATTTTGATATACATATGTGACGCGCAACAAAGAAAGGTACCAAAGAAGAAGAAAATTATTGGTTACGTTTATAATTTTTTGATTAAAAAACAGAAAGATATCCAATTAATAACATAAATTATTGATATTCAAGTTTTCATTAAATCCAAAATATTAAAAAAAATCAATTTCGTTTTGAAATAATTGAACAGAAACATTTTATTCAGGTAAAAATATAGCACAAACAAAACTTATAATTCGCCTGTTTCTGAGATACCTTTCTTCGTAGCTTTTTTAAAATTAAAAATTTTAATGTATCTAAACGTTTAGACATTTGTAAAACATAATTAAACGGAATACTTTCTTACGTTTCTGTTGCAGACTGCCTACATTTCAAACTTTCGAAATCAATGGTTGAGGGGAAGTCAAAAATTTTAAGATTAAATAAAGTTTCACGAATACTATCGAAAAAAATATATGACCTTCGGTACCAAAAAGAAAATTAATAGACTAAGAAATAAACATTTAAATTGTTAATTACATGAAAAATAAAAAAATTATAAAGCTCTTTACTACATATGGAATTTAATTTTTCCTAAATATACAATCATAACACTTTTTTAAAAACTATTATAAATAATTACTAAAAATGTAAATTCTGCAAAAATATTATAAATTAATGTAAAACATCACATGAACAATTATTTCATATGCAAGTATTAATGTGGAATAACTAATTTATGTAATTGCAAAATCGCATATAAAACTGTACTAAAGTATGTCCTAAATGACGTCCTAAAGCATGTACTTTCGTATCCCAAATTCGGATATACTTTCGGACATACTTTAGTATATACTTTGGGACGTACTTACGGACACACTTTAAGACATACTATAGTATGTACTATAGTTTGTACTTATTTTCAAGTGGGACTATAAAAAAATCTAAACAACTAAATGTTCTATTCTTTAATATTTCCCTACATGGATATTTCTATAAATTAAAATACAGTCAAATGAAAAAAGTAGTTAATAAATATTTCTTCAAATACTAATTTCTTGTGATAAAAATTTGTTTAAAAGAAAACTCGAATTATTGCAGTTCTAATAAGTAGATATTTCAAGTTTTTTATTTCGATACCACAAAAATTGTTGCAAGTTCAATGTGGAGAATATTCATGCGTCCCAATCCGGCACTAAATGCCTTCCAACAATAACCGGGCCAGTACCGCCCCGGTGGATTATTCGGTACCAGCCCGGTACGTATGCCGGATACCTGCCGCAGTTATCATCCGGCAATTTGCTTTTTTTAATTGATAAAAATAAAGTTTAATCTTAGTTTTAAACAGTTTCTTGAATTCAAATGTGACGCGCTCTCAAGGAAGGTACCTAAGAAGAAAAAAATTTGAGGTTATGTTTTAAATTTTGTAAGTAAAAATACGGAAAGAGAATTAATTATTAATTAAAAATTGTTGGTCTTCAAGTCTTCACTATATTCAAAATATTCAATGAATATTGGTTTCAAATTCAAATAATTAAATATGAACTTTTTATCAAGATAAATCTAACTCGAACCCAACCTATAATTCGTTTGCTTCTTAGGTACCTTTCTTGGGAGCGCGTCACAAAATTGTTTTTTTAAAAATTGTTTTGAAATACTAAAAAAAGAATTTTTTCCCATCCATTATAATACATTAATTTACTTGAGGTTGAGTCCACAATAAAATAAATCGTCTCGATTTCGATGCACAGTAAGCAAAAATGTATGTATGCGTATCGAATCGTCTTGAAAGTCGAGACGATTTTTCGCTATTCTAGAATCAGCCTCACAAGGTTTATTATAAACGAATTAAAAATAATATTTTTCCTTAAAATTTTTTGGATAAAACAAAATTTTTACAATATTAAAAAATAAATAAAAATCAAATGAAAATTCTTATTATGAGAATATAAAAAATAAATATTTAGAGAGAAAGGAATCCATTTTTTTGCGTAAAAAATATTTTTTACTCCCAATCAATAACCAAAAGCGCTGTAAATTTCACCCACATTCTATAATAAAAAATAAATATGTTAAGAAATCTGAAGAGGCTCATTAAACTTTTTTATATTTATACCCTTATATAGATTAAGAATTGAGAGAACCAGCAAGGGTTACAGAATTTTCGAGCTTGCAAAAAGAGATTTTAGTTTTTCGATGAAAACACCATGAAAATAAATTCTAATCACTTCCGCTATATTTTTCCTGTAATCTATGCGTAAAAACGAATAAGTATGCCAATTTTCAGCTCTGCAGGTAAAAAATGTAGGCGCCAGGGGGGGTACATGGATTTTTTTCGAAATTTTCAAAATTTTTGACTTTTTCGATAAAAACAGAATGAAGATCAATACCAAATGTGTTCGCTATATTTTTCCTTTAATCCATTTTTTGAAAATACATATGCATACCAATTTTCGACTTTCTAGGTAAAAAACTGTGAGCGCTAGGGGGGGGGGTACATGCCTTTTTTTGCGAAAAATGGCCAAAATTTGATGTTTTTCGTCGAAAACTCTATGAAGATCAATCCCACCCAGGTAGAAATTGACGACCGGGATGGTACCGGCCCGGTACAAACGGCGGATTATAAGTGCCGGGGCGGTACCGGCATAAGACCGCAATTTTCACCGTCTTGGTACCGGCAAATTGCCGGATGATAACTGCGGCAGGTATCCGGCATACGTACCGGGCCGGTATCGAATAATCCACCGAGGCGGTACTGGCCCGGTTATTGTTGGAAGGCATTTGGTGCCGGTTTATTACCGGCTGCACAACCGGCTAGGTACTGGTCCAGTACCGGCATAAGTGTGTTCATTCCACCGGCGCAGTACCGGTAAATTGCCGGATGATAACTTCGGTAGGTATCCGGCAACCGTACCGGGCCGGCACTAAAAAACAACCGGTGTGGTACCGGGCCGGTTAAAAAAATTATATTTCAGTCTGATTAATTGTTTAATTATTATTATTATTATGAATGTTATTATTAATTTTAAATTGGAAACAGTAAATATATTAAATGCTGAAACAGAGAAACATAAACAATTATAGAAAAATCTGAAGACTCGAGGAATTGAACTCCGGACCCTGAGGCTGCAAAGTCGACACCACATCCGCTAACCTAAACCTGCATATGGAAAGTAAATGCAAAGTGAGCTTATAAAGTCCAACCGACATTCCACCTGGCAGCAGTACCGGGCCGGCACTAATATTCAACCGGTGCGGTACCGGGCCAGTATTTGTATTTCTAATTTATTTTAATTCAATTTAAATTATTAAAAATAAATAAATAAAAATAGTAATTATAAATAATAATAACCGCCCTATTCACCGGTTAAATACCGGGCCGGCACCAATAAGCAACCTACTCGGTATTAATATAATTGCCAGCACAACTAACTAATTAATTTATTATTAATAATTAAATTAATAAATTAATTTTCACATTTTTTTTCTTTTCTTTAATTCTTTTTCTGATAGTTTAACATTGGCAAACAACCGGGAGGACACTGGGTTAGTACTAATATTTTTGTCGGCAAACCTTCTGTGCCAGTAGAAAGCATTAAGTAAATTTTTGTGCTGGGCCGGTGCTGGGCCGGCACAAATATTATCACCGGAAAATCTCCTTCGTCTGTATAAAAACAAAACCAAATAGTAGTACCGGGCCGGTGCTGGGCCGGTAAAAATATTATCACCGGCAAATCTCCGTCGACAGTATAAAACAGAGCGAAATAACAGTACCGGGCCGGTGATAAGCCGGTGCTGGGCCGGTAGAAATATTATCACCGGCAAATCTTCTTCGGCGGTATAAAAATAGAAGTAAATTATAGTACCGGGCCGGTGCTGGGCCAGATATTTTTAATCAACCGGCCCGGTACACACTACCAGTACCGGTAGAAATCCACATTTACCACCGGGCCGGTATTTATTTCATATCCGGCCCGGTACTTTTTTGCCGGTACCGGCATATGTCCGACTTTACAACCGGTTCGGTACCATGCCGGTCTTTAGTGCTGGCACACCTCCAACTTTTCTGCCTGGGCAATCACGTTCGCTATATTTTTCCTGTAATCTACGCGTGAAAATACATACGTGTACGAAATTTTAGCTGTCTAGGTGTAAAACTGTGAGTGCTAGGGGGGGGTACAGGGTCATTTTTGTAACCGTTCCAATAGGGTTCCTACCGGGGTACGGAACCCTAAAAAGAGAGAAAAGAACTCTAATATCATACTGTTTGTAAAGTTTTGTAAAGTTTTCTAATTTAATAAAAAAAAAGAAGAAAGAAAAACAGAAGTTTTTTAACCATCTTTACTCTAAACATCTACAAGTTTTATATCTTCGAACAAGCATATGAAATATAATTAATGATTAAACGAACTTACAAGTGAAGTTCGATTTTAATTATATGAATTGCTTGTTCGAAGATATAATATCCCTCCCAAAATAAATAAAATAATAATAATAATATATATTCCTTTTTAATATGATGAAATTATAAAAATATAAATTCGGAATTAATTTTGAACCCAACCCCGAATTCGCGCGCTTTATTTGGCTCTAAACTAAAATGAAAGCATAAAGGCCTAAGCACAATAGATTCGCGAAAGTCGTTCGCGAACGCAAAGCATGAGTTAGAAAAGGACAGAGATATATTTGTGTCTTTGTCTATCTCA